TTTGACAAAATTCAATATTCATTCTTTTTTTTTAAAGCTCCAAGAGAGAGAGGACTCTAAAGCTTTTGCCTGGTTTTCTCTTGACTTCACTCCATTCACCTCTTCCTATTGCTGATTTTGTTTTGTATCCTTTATTGTAATAAGTGACAGCCATGATACCACCACCACAACAAAAAGTTAAGCAGAGCTGATGATCTTTACTACATAAACATTGGTGTTAGGATCAACATACAAAAATCAGTCTTCTTACTCATCTAACCAATTAGAAAATGTAGTAGGTAAAAAAAACCCATTCATTATAACAACAAAAACTATATAGAACCTTGAAGAAAATTACATATGACAGACTTTTATGTAGTAATATAATAATAGTAAAGGACACTCAAACACCCATGTGTAACCGGAGGGGTGCCGTATTTGTGGAAGGGAAGATTCAACAGCATAAAGATCTCTGTTCCCTGCAAATTAATCTATAAATGCAATGTAATTGCCATGTACAGGCAGGGGGTTGGGCTGGTGGCGGGGGCGGGGGGATGGGGAGGGTGAAGGCTTGTCCTACCCGTTATCAAGACCAATTGAGAGAAAAAAATCAAGGGAGAACCAAGATGGCGGCATAGGTTAACACCGGAGTTTGCTGCTTTGAACAACTACTTCAAAAGTGAAACCAAAAAACGGAAGGGACATCACCCAGAACCACAGGAACGCTGGCTGAGTGGAAGTCCTACAACTAGGAGGAAAGAGAAACGCATACGGACACTCAGAGGAGGCACAGTGCTGAAGTCAAATTCTGAGGTGCAGAGTGCATGGAGCGGGCTGGCAGCGGAGGGCGCGGTTGGCGTTTTCAATCGGGAGGGAGTCGCAGACTCTGAGCTCCAGATACGGGCGAGTCTTTAGGGACCCAGACTCAAACGGGAGAAACGGGACTGTCTGGCTTCGGTCAGAGCGAGTGCAGCTTTCTCTCTGAGCTTTGCAGCGGGTGCTGGGACTCAGAGAGGCAGAGCCCCTGGGGACCGGACTGAGAGCCGCCATAACTGCTCTCTCCGGCCCACCCTGTTGATCCTGTGCGACCCGCCCCGCCCAAGCCCTGCACACAGGCATTTGCCGGATAGCCTCAGGCAAAGGCTAGATTAGCACCTCCCTAGAGGACAGAAGTTCTCTCACTGCTGACACAGCTGATTCTCATAGCCACTTGGCCTGGAGGTAAAACCCTCCCTGGTACTAGCTACAACAATCAAGGTTTAACTATAAGACTGCGCACAAAGACCACTAGGGGGTGCACCAAGGAAGCATAACAAAATGCGGAGACAAAGAAACAGGACAAAATTGTCAATGGAAGATATAGAGTTCAGAACCACACTTTTAAGGTCTCTCAAGAACTGTTTAGAAGCCGCCGATAAACTTAATGAGATCTACAAGAAAACTAATGAGACCCTCGATCTTATATTGGGGAACCAACTAGAAATTAAGCATACACGGACTGAAATAACGAATATTATACAGACTCCCGACAGCAGACCAGAGGAGCGCAAGAATCAAGTCAATGATTTGAAATGCGAGGAAGCAAAAAACACCCAACCGGAAAAGCAAAATGAAAAAAGAATCCAAAAATGCGAGGATAGTGTAAGGAGCCTCTGGGACAGCTTCAAGCGTACCAACATCAGAATTATAGGGGTGCCGGAAGATGAGAGAGAGCAAGATATTGAAAACCTATTTGAAGAAATAATGACAGAAAACTTCCCCCACCTGGTGAAAGAAATGGACTTACAGGTCCAAGAAGCACGGAGAACCCCAAACAAAAGGAATCCAAAGAGGACCACACCAAGACACATCATAATTAAAATGCCAAGAGCAAAAGATAAAGAGAGAATCTTAAAAACAGCAAGAGAAAGAAACTCAGTTACCTACAAGGGAATACCCATACGACTGTCAGCGGATTTCTCAACAGAAACTTTGCAGGCCAGAAGGGAGTGGCAAGAAATATTCAAAGTGATGAATACCAAGAACCTACAACCAAGATTACTTTATCCAGCAAAGCTATCATTCAGAATTGAAGGTCAGATAAAGAGCTTCACAGATAAGGAAAAGCTAAAGGAGTTCATCACCACCAAACCAGGATTATATGAAATGCTGAAAGGTATCCTTTAAGAAGAGGAAGAGGAAGAGGAAGAAAAAGGTAAAGATACAAATTATGAACAACAAATATGCATCTATCAACAAGTGAATCTAAGAATCAAGTGAATAAATAATCTGATGAGCAGAATGAACTGTTGATTATAATAGAATCAGGGACATAGAAAGGGAATGGACTGACTATTCCTGGGGGGGAAAGGGGTGTGGGAGATGTGGGAAGAGACTGGACAAAAATCGTGCACCTATGGATGAGGACAGTGGGTGGGGAGTGAGGGCGGAGGGTGGGGTGGGAACTGGGAGGAGGGGAGTTATGGGGGGAAAAAAAAAGAGGAACAAATGTAATAATCTGAACAATAAAGATTTAATTTAAAAAAAAGAAAAAGAAAAAAAAAGACCAATTGAAACAGATGTCACACAATCTTATTCTATAGCTCTCTGGTTTTATGATGTACACATGAAGCTTGGAAAATCTACTGACGTCAATGATCAGCATGTTCCTTAGTCTATCCTCTTAGATAGTGATTATTTCCTCCAATTCTGTATTGAAATCCCTGGGAAGTCCTGTGTTCAGGTAACTGAAAAGACATCACAATATGCTTAAAAGCAAGACAACATGTGGTCAAAATATTGTGTTATGAACTCATATTCTTGCCTATCAGAATGACCAAAACAAATACCATATGATTTCACTTATATGTGGAATCTTCTAAAACAACAACTACAAAAACCAAGTAACAAACTCAAAGATGCAAGGAACAGATTGGCAGGTACCAGAGGGGCAGAGGTTGAGGGAGGGAGGAACTAAGACATAGTAGTGATCACTATGTAGTACATACAAATATTGAATCATAATGTTGGACACCTGAAATACATATATATAGTGTTGTATACTAATTTCACCACAATAATAAAATTTAAAAAAATGGCCAAACAGAAAACTGTGGTACATCTATAAAATGGAATACTACGCTGCGGTAAAAAAGAAGGAATTCTTACCATTTGCCACAGCATGGATGGAACTGGAGAGCATTGTGCTAAGTGAAATAAGCCATTCAGAGAAGGATAAACACCACATGATCTCACTCATTTGTGGAATATAATAAACAACATAAACTGATGAACAAGAACAGATCCAGAGACAGAGAGGCATTGATTGGACTGTCCAGCCTTGGAGGGATGGTAGGGGAGGGTGGGGGTCAGGGGGAGAGATCAACCAAAGGACTTATATGCAAGCATATAGGCCTAACCAATAGACACGGACAACAGTGGGGTGAGGGCACGAGCGGGGGGATAGGGGGTAATGTAGGGATAAGGACACATATGTAATATCTTAATCAATAAAAAATATATATTAAAAAAAATGGCCAAACAGTTTACTTTTCTCCATGGTGCAGAATGACCTAGAAGCTTTAGTCAGAACTTGGGAACCAAGTTGAAACATCTCAGATTTGCAACTGCAGAGTACAGGTAACAGACCTAATTGCACCTGGGCATCTTTACCACAAAACAACTTTTGCTAAAATAAAACAGTCTGCCTTTAAGTTGGGACCTTATCCCTAATGACAGCCAGAGCCAGGTGTAAAACATACCCTTAAATAAACAAATGACTTGATACAGTCAAATTAGGTATTTAGTGCTATCTGGTGTATAGTGATGAAAATAACTTTATTGTATATGGACAACAGGTCAGTTGCTTAAGTACACTCTTAAACAGGAATAATGGACCCATTTCATCAAATCGGGAGGGATGATTATGTTCCTACATGCTATATGGCAAATGGTATGTGTTTCGTTCAGCTAAAGAGGGTACATGTCAGTTTTAACTTTAAATATGCTTTGTACAAACTACATGGTAACTCTGCTTAAAGAGCTGTTAAAATGTGTTCCAAATTTTAAATCAAATTAGTTACTTTAAAAAGAAAGTGAATTGCTAAAATATAATTTGTTGTTGTTGTTGTTAAGGGTATATACAATGGTAAATAAAAACATGGTCTCAGACCTGTGGAACTCATCACCCAGTGGAGGAAAGACAAAAAGTAAACTAACAAGTGAATTTATGGGAACGCAAAGAAAAATTAATAAGACAATAAAGAAAGAAAAGAAGAAGAACAGGGGTGCCTACTTAGCATAGTCACGGAAGGCCACTCTGAGCATTACGGGTAGAAAGCATGTGTGACTGCCCCCCAGGAAAAAGCCAAGACACTAGTTAGGCTGACGTGTGGGAGGCAAAAAGGAGAGAGCACAAGGTCAAACAAGAGGCCGGAGTCAGATCTGACAGAGCTTTCGAAGTGCAGCATGGAATCATTGCAAAATTTCAGGGACGGGAATGACATGATCACATTAAAAGGTTATCCTCGGCGTCTGTGTGAAAACTGGGGGCTGAAGAGTGAAAGCGCCTGAGAATGAAAACGCATGTTGTCAGGATCGTTCGCAATTACGTTGAGCTGATAAAGAAATGAAATCCTCCTCCCAACTCCACCAAACGTGGACAAGAAAATTCCAAACGCCCCGAGAAACAGGCTTTCCTTGTAGAAACCAAGCCTACAAGACATCTACATACGTAAACTCTGGGGAACTGGAATCAAGTGGAATTCCTTAAACTATAAACGGAGCTACCCGTGGCGATTCCGGCTGTCCAAACCGCGTCCAGCAGGATCATCTCACCGACGAGCATGTTGGTTCGGGTTAAATTAAAATTTCGCTCACTTCGAACACCTTGGTTGGGCGCAGACGAACTCAAGTTAAAAAGACGGGAGAGAATGCTGGGCAGTGAGCTGTCCCAACGCTCCCGTCACCAGTAAAAGGCCGTGTAAGCAGCCTCACTTTTAGGCGAAAGAAAGAAGGAAGCGCTGAACCGCCCAATGTCTTACTTATATTCTTCCTCCTTGGCGAGGAGGTCCCGGCGCGGCGCAGCCGGTTGCTGAACGCGGGGCGGGAGCGGAGTCCCTGTCCGTCTCTGTAAAAGAGACGGGCACGTTCAGACCCAGATTGAAAAGAGGTTCTGGTCCTCTAGCCCGCCCCGAACCTATACGCGACCCAGGAGTCTGGGGTTGAACCGACCCTCACGCCGCGACCACGACCTGCCATCTTTCGCGGCCGCGACGCCGTTACCGAGGCAACAGAGTAACTTCCCGCGAGAGTTGCCTCCTCTCGGGCATCCTCACGCCGAAGGCGCCGACTCCGCGAGGGCGGGGCGGGGGGCCCTCGACCTCTCTGCCCCTCGGCGCTGCGCACGCTAACGCTGCCCGTAACCTGAGAAGCCAATGCGCTGCGTTGACATATAAACTCTCAGGTTGGCACGGAAGGGTTTCAACCGAAAAAGGCAGGTGCATGTCTAATTCTCAGTGCGAAGCAAGATAGTAAAACCCCTACTCTGTTGTGCTTTTCCCAAGTTAGTGGCCAATCCGACCGCCCCCTGTTCTGTTTTCAGTGAACTAACGCTTCAGTGGAATTGTCAGTTCTCATTGCTCACGGTTATCCATGGCATGCGTCGGAGCTCAGGCTCTCAAGTCAGTAGGCCTCCGTTGATGTCCTGGTTGTGCTGCTCAGTAGCCACGTAGGTAATCTTGGACAAAGCATTGTTATCTCGAGTACTTCATCTGTAAAAACGGGAGTAACAATAGTGCCCGTTCACAATTAATATGAGGAGTAAACGAATTGTGCTGAGGACTGTGCCTGGAAGACAGTAAAGAGTCCAAAATTCCAATTTGGGGGAAATCAACTCACATTTAGGGTCATCTAATCTTCAGCGAGGCTGCTAAGACCATTCAATAGGGGAAAGAATAGTCTTTTCAGCAAATGGTACCAGGATAAGTGGATGTCCACCTGTAAAAGAATGAAGTTGGACCCTTATCTCACACCATGTACAAAAAGTAACTCAAAATGGACCAAAGGCCTAACCTTAAGAGCCAAAACTATAAAGCTCTTCAAAGAAAACATACGTGTAAAATGTCACCACCTTGAATTAGATAACAATTTATTCACCATGACACCAAAAAACACTATCAACAAAAGAAAAATTAATAGAATGGACAGCATCAAAATTAAAAACATTTCGTTTTAAAGGATACCATAAATAAAGTGAAAAGACAGACCACAGAAGGGGAGGAAAAATTTGCAGATCTTATATTTGATAAGAGACTTGTGTCTAAAATATATAAAGACCAACTAAAACTCAAAAATAAAAAGATAAATAACCCAAGTAAAAAGCGGGCAAGGATCCTGAATGGGCATTATTCCAAAGAAGTCATGCAAATAGCCAAAAACACATGAGAAGTTGCTCAATATCATGAGTCTTCAAGGAAATCAAAATCACAGTGAGGCACCACTTCACACCCACTAGGATGACTATACAGTAGCCAAAAGACAGACCATAACAAGTGTTGGGGAAAATACGGATAAATTAAAACCTTCTTATACTGTTGGTTGAATATAATATTGTGCGGCTATTGTGGAAAACAGTCTGGTAATTTCTTGAAAGTTTACACAAAGAGTTACAACATGATCCAGCAAACCACCCCTAGGTATATATATGCTTAAGAAAAATGAAAACTGCACAGCTGGCATGGTTCAGTGGTTGAGCATCAATCTATGAACCAGGAGGTGACAGTTTGATTCCCAGTCAAGGCATATGCCCGGGTTGTGGGCTTGATCCCCAGTGTGGGGTATGCAGGAGGCAGCCAATCAATATTTATCTCTCATTATTGATGTTTCTATCTCTCTCTGTCTCTTCCCCTCACCCTTCCTTTCTGAAATCAATAAAAATAAATTCACAAAAAAGAAAAATGAAAACTTATACTGCACACAAAAGATTGTACACAAATGTTTATAGCAGCATTGTTCAGAATAACCAAAATGTGAAAGCAGTTGTTTAAACAAGAGTGCTTAGTATTAAGTGCATACATTAGAAAATAAGAAAAATCTGAAATCAACAATCTAAGCTTCTGTCTTGGGCAATGAGAGAAAGAAGAGCAATTTAAGCTTAAAGAGAGCAAAAGAAGAGAAATAATATATAGAGAGAAAAATTACATATAAGGAAAATTTCTATGTCCTTCTAGTCCTGACATATCCCACTCCAGCGCTCTGCCCCCTTCAAATAGACAAAATTGATTCTTCAAATAGGCAATTAAGAATAAAATGACAAACCTGAGAAAATGCCCATAAAACAAGACTCAGGTCAACAGCAATATGTTGGAGCTGAGCCTGAGATCCTTGCTCTAAACTACTTAGTTCACTATAGTTCAAGATCAGTAGTAGCCAAATCAAACACAAATCTTTTTCTGACAAAAATATTTCTAATTAGGCCCACCAATTCCTGGACTGAGATAAAGAAAATGTGAGTTTACCATATAAAATGACCAGCCCTAAAGGAATCAAGCCACCATGAATGAGAAATCAGAAGAAATAATAAATATTTAGAACCTTCAAGAAAACCAGACATTAAAATTTTATTAGTTGTGAAATATAGAATATCTATTTAGAAAATATTTAAAGAAATAAGGGATAGAATCATAAGATGAACAAGCAACAGAGACTATCAGAAATGAGCAAGCAGATGTGACAAATAAACAAGTGAAGCTTTTAGGCATTAAACATATTATTTGTTGAGCCCTGGTTGGTGTGGCTCAGTTGGTTAGGCATTGTCCTATGCACCAAAAGGTTGCCAGTTCCATTCCTGGTCAGGGCACATGCCCAGTTGCCTCTCTGGAAGGGGGCATGCAGGAGGCAGCCGATTGATTCCTTCTCACACTAAAATCGATGTTTCTTTCTCTTGCCCTCTCCCTTCTTCTCTCTCTAAAAAAATCAATAAAAAATATATTTTTAAAAAAACCAAAAACATGTCTGTTGAAATGGAAACACTCATGGATTGAATGGCAGATTAGACACATAATTTGTAAACTATAAACTAAGAAAATTATCCAGAATAAACAGAGAATGATAAGAATGTAAAAAATATGAAAGAAATGTCAAACAATTATAAAAGTTAAACTTAAAAGATCTGGCATATAAATAATCAGTTTTCATGGAGAGATTTTAAGAAATGAGAAGCAATATTTCAAAAGTTAAATGCTTAGAATTTTCCAGAATTTAGAAAAGATATGAATGCACAGATTCAAGAAGCACAAAATATCCGAGAAGGATAAATTTAAAAAGCTGTTCTGAGACTTGTCATAAAATTCAAAACACCAAAAAAAAAAAAAATGTTTAAAGCAGACAGAGAGAAAAAACAGACAACCTACAACAAAACAGACTAAAAGCAGATGCTTTAATAGCAACAATGGAAGCCAGACAACAGTAATATAATGAGTGACATCCCAGGATATTAAGCCCCATTATAATTAAAGTTTGGATCCAGCATTATCTGATATAATAAAAGGCTAATATGCAAATCAACTGAACAACGGAACGACCAGTCGCTATGACGTGTGCTGACCACCAGGGGGCAGACACTCAATGCAGGATCTGCCCCCTGGGTGGTCAGTGCATTCCCACAGGGGGAGCACTGCTCAGCCAGAAGTCCTGAGCCAGGCTCACAACTAGCGAGCGCAATGGCGGTGGCGGGAACTTCTCCCACCTCTGCGGCAGTGCTAAGGATGTCCCCCGGTGCAGGCGGGCTAAAGGACCCCCCCCCACCACCACCACCACCGAGTGCACGAATTTCATGCACCAGGCCTCTAGTTGGTAATTAATCACCAATAATGATTAATGATTGACTGCCTTCTATCTAGCCCTCATTTCAAATTGGATGGGATACACTTTTATCTTCTGAGTGGAGGGCATGGAGGAAAGGGTAAGGCTGGGTGAGGAAAAATTAAGCACGCTATGTCAGGAAACAGGGAGGCAGAGGGTGAGTCCTTTAGTACCAGTATTTTTCCAGCCCTATCTCCTTTGATCAGACTGATTAAATGGGCCCCAGCTTAATTAGATTACTATAAATGCTTCCACTGTTCTGGAAGTTCTAGCCCGTGAGACAGGATCCAGAATTGGCACCAAATGACATTTATTTTGAAACAGACAGCCACTACCAAGTGGTGCCAAACCACAACCAGGATGAGCAAAGATTTTAATTATAGAGTCAGACCACTAGAACTACTAGCCAATCAGCTAGACACACTCAGATGGCTCATTTCTTTAATTTTTAAAATAAGCCCACTTTTCTCTTTACAATTGAAATTTTTCATCTTAATTAATCTTATAATGAGGAGATTTTATTGTCTCTTCAAAGTGATTAAAGAAAAAAATTTCAGTCTAGAACTGTGCACTCACTCATTAATTCTATATTGCAAGAGTGAGGGTGAAATAAAGATACTTTCAGATACATACAACCTACAAGATTTAGCACCCATATGCTCATACTAAAGGAACTTCTAAAAGATGTACTTTAGGAAGAAATAAAAGAAACACTTTGAGATGACAGAAAAATGGTAAACAAACAAAATGGTAAACATGTATGTAGGTTTAAATAAATCAATTTTCTAAAATTCCTACTACTAATAATGTCTACTTTGTGAGGTTTGTTTTTTTTTAAACGATTGGAGCCCTAGCCGGTTTGTTCAGTGGACAGAGCACAGCCTGTGGACTGAAGGATCCTGGGTTTGATTCCGGTCAAGGGCATATGCCTGGGGTTGCAGGTCCCCAGTGGAGGGTGTGCAGGAGGCAACCAATCAATGGTTCTTTCTCATCATTGATGTTTCTATCTCTCCCTTTCCCTTCCTCTCTGAAATCAATAAAAATATTTTTTTAAAGGATTAGATTCTCATTAAACTGGGAATAGAAGAGAACTTATTTAACCTGATAAAGAGCATCTCAAAAAACCTACATCTAACATATTTAATAATAATAAATCAAATGCTTTCCCCCTAATATGAGGAAAAAGACAGGGATTTCCATTCTCACCATTCCTATTCATAATCATACTGAAAAACTGAAGATTTTATCCTGTGCTATAGGTAATCAATCACTCAATCTTGGAAAGAAGGAAATAAAATGGTCTTTATTCACAGATGACATGATTACCTGTTTGGAAAATTCCAAAGAATCTCCCAAAAAAATCCATGGGACTATTTAGTGAATTTAGCAAAAAAAATTTTTAAAT